TCCCCACCCACAACAAATGGCCATTTTCATTCTCTAAAGTTTGGCTCCTCCGTGCTAAAACTACTTGCAAACCATCTAACAATTAAATGTTAAATCATGTGGACATAGTTACACACTCAGATTGTTTTTCCACAGAGACTGTAAGGCTTTATCCTTGGGAAAGCTTCTTCTTATCTTCTTCCCTAACATTAGTAAGACATATGGTCTGACAACAAGAACAGAAACCTTTTATCCTCAACTCCTGTAGAATCAGACCGTGGGGCTGGTTGATGAGTCTATGATGGAAATGATGTAACTGAATCACACTAGATAAGGCCTTAACACTAGCACATCTTTTAGGAAGAAGCAAACAACCAACTAAAGCAAAATGAGCTTTTCTGTGTTTGTGTGTATATGTGCATCTGTATGCATGTGTGTAGAGTGTTTGTATGTATATATGTGTATCCGTGAGCATATTTGTGGAGTGTTTGAGTGTACATATGTCCATGACCCTCTCTTGTTGTAGCCAGGTCACAAGAAATTATAATGATTTGCAAGAAATTCTGGAAGGTCACTGGTGAAGAGTATCTTACATAGGATAAGTGATCTTCTCAGCTTTGGGGAAGAGTTGGGTAGAGAAGACAATGAGATGAAAAAGCTATATGACCCTCAATCTCTTTATATGTTCCATATTTTATATTTTATATTGGTATGCCACTAGGCTTTGTTGGGGTCAAAGGCAGACATGATTCTTTGTCTCAAGCATTTGTAATCAGCAGGGCAGGATGGAATCTTGGGGACCAGGGACTTGGATCCACCAATAAAAGCTTACTAATCATGGTATGTGTGTGTATAATATAATATATATATATATATAATATTATATATATTTACACACACAAATATATATATAAATTTTGAGAGAGGGTCTCACTAGGTAGCCTTGGCTGTCCTCGAACTCCCTCTGCAGACCAGGCTGACCTTGAACTCACAAAGATCTACTTCTTTACACCTCCAGGGCTGAGATTAAAGATGTGTGCAAGGTATTATCTTCTTTTGTGTACTCTTGGAAGACATTACAATCTTATCTGCACAGACAAGGAGTAAAGGTTCAAAAAAGCTGTTTTCTCATCTGCAATACAGACTGTGACCATGGAGGCATAATTTAAACTCAGCAGCTCTTGTCAAGGCCTGGGGTGGTATTCTTTTCTGTCCGCTATCCTGTCGTGGAAACCTGAGGAGACACATGCAGAGAGCTATAGAACACCATGTGGTTGATTTGGGAATATGGATTTTCAGAGGACCAGAAGCCCCGGAGGGTTAATCAAAACAGTTTTTTTTTTTTTTTTTTTTTTTTGGAAGAGAGCTTGGGAGCAGCCCTCTGAGAGAGCAATGGTGACTCTGGATGGACTAGCTAAAGTGAAGGCCTGGGAAGAGACAATTGGAGGCTGGAGGCTGAAGAGGAGGCGGTGGCTGTGGCCAAACAGCAGACAAAAATTCAAGTGTAGGGAGGAAGGTTTATTTTGTCTCAGTATAAGAAGGTGTACAGTTCCTCATGACGGGGAAGTGGCCCTGACCAGAGTGCGGTGTGCGTCTGCAGTCAAGAAACTGATTTTCAACAGGAAGTGGGACCAGGCAATCAAACCCCAAAATCCACCCGTAATGACTCACTTCCTCCAGTTGCCCCCCCCCCCCCCCCCACCTCCCATGTACAGATTTCACCGCCTTCCAAAACAGACCCAGCAGCTGGGGAGCAAGTGTTTAAATACAAGAGCTTACGGGGACATTTCACACTTAAACCAAACAGAAGTCGTCCCTGTGGGCTCTCTTAGACTTCATCATTGTTTCGTTGACAGAGTCAAATGCAGGACAAGCCTCCCTAAGGGAGTAAACCCAGTCTTCCTGCGGTCTTCAGGGAGTGCTTGCTCCCTGGTCTGGGGCCATTCCTCAGAAATCCCTAGTAACACAGCTGCTGGTAGGCTTCTGGGGCCTGAGGGAGGCCCTGGAGCCAGGTGGCTCTCCCTCCCCGGTTTTAGAATCCTGGCCAGCTTCAATTTACATAACACGCTTAATCCACAGAAACAGGAGCTGCTAGGCAGGTTCTTTCTCTCTCTCTCTCTCTTCCTCTCCAAGACACAGAAACCTTTATTTTCTTCGTACACCACAAACCGGTGCTGTTAAATAATATTGGATAATTGCACCTGTCGTACCTCCCATATTGTGCCGAGGAAAAATAATTGCTGGTTTTCTGCTTTGCCGTTTAGCTGTGACTCCGTCATTTGACTCGGAGCATGTCATTTTCTCCCATTTTAGACTGTACAGTCAAACTGTGTGAAAGGACTCGCAGATAGGGGCCCTGCGTGTGTGAGTGGGCGCAGGCCTCATTCAGCAATGGTTTCTAATTTATACAGCATTGAAAATCTGCAGCTATAAATAAACAGCTGACTGGCTTAGCTGCCTACTCAAAATCCTTTATTAAAAAAAAAGGCACCACCAACTACAGGAGGAAGGAAAACAAGGCTGCCTGACTGAGGGATACATTGGGTTTCTGAGTCTCTGGACCTGGGGAGGAGGCCGAGAGATCCCGGATTAGGTCTCAGGGCTTAGGGGAGGCCACCTCATCCCTACTTCTCCCTCAGCCCACTCACGCTCCCCACATGCACCTCAACGTGTTTGAGAATTACTGTATATGAAACTGGCTTCCTGTTATGACAAATACTTCAGGCGAGTAGGTGCCGAGTTGCTTAAAATAGCTCATGGGACGTATGACCCTTCAGTTGGAAGCGGAGGTGAATACGGCGGCACTTTAAACTGCAAGGGAATTATTTACTCAAAAATGGTTTCACTTGTGAGAGTGACCTAGGGACATAGCTTTGGTTGGGGGATGAGAGGCATTGCTTCTTCCCCAGCCTGGATAAGGGTCTCCAACTACTCTGGGGCGCTTGACCACTTTATCCTGTATAGCACTGCAAGATGGGATGAGTTTTGTTAAAAAAGCGTTGCCATTTTGCTCTGCAAGCAAAAGGAAAGGACGTGGGCTAGGGAATGGATTATGTGAACTTGGACCGGTCGCCCACCTTAAGCCCTTCTGGATCCAGAAGTCTGCTGGAAACAGGCTCTATAGGACCAAAGGGTTGGGCACACCTCTTGCCAACTTGAGTAACATCTTGATAGTTTAAAAAAAGCGATCACGGAGGGGAGCGTTTATGCCATGGAAAGGAGCCAACAGCGTGAATCAGGAGCTTAATTTGTTGGTGGTCATTAAACATTCACCAGCACACCACCAGCAGAAGGTCAGCCTAACGCACTGTAAAATGGGGACCCAATGCATTTTCCGCATACATCCTATCGTGAGGCTAAAATGGGAGTGATTAGGAACGACACTGTTCAAATATGACTGCTGACATCATCCTTTGGCTCCTGCTATTATCATAGTCTAACCACTAAGGCCCCTAATGCAGCCTTATGCAGGCAGCAAATGCTATATGTCTTTTCATGAATGTTTAATCAGCATTCATTCCAAAGTGTCTTGTGGCTTGTAATTTAACTATATCTGCTCCAAGAAGCACCTGTCTGCTTATTCTGAATGAGCCCAGTGGGACACGGGGCTGAGGTATTTCTGGTGTTAGGACAGAATTGCACGGTGGCCGGCCATGCTGACGTGGAGGTTTAATTTGGTGGCAGGACAGTCAAGCCACAGATAGAAATGGGCTCCTCTGGGACAGGTGCGTAATATGCCCGTGAGAAGAATGCAGCACAGGTCATCTTCGGGGTGTGGAAAATTTGGGCAGTCCCCTGTGAGCTTCCTGAGCAGGGAGTTTCCACCCTGACAACTGCTGGGGGTGTGTGTGTTGGGGGGGAAGCTCTGCTAAGACCAGGGGCTCCAGGCAGTGCAGAGCAGCAGCAGGTGGAGCGGGAGGTGGAGCTCCTGGTTAAAGGAAAAACATCTGGAGGCTCATATTCCCACTGTAGTTAGGAGAAAGAAACAAAACTAAACAGGATTCTTGGTACTTGCCCTAGTCTGGTAGTCATTCTCTGGGATGTGTGCCCAAGATATCAGACTAGTTCACTGTTCTATATGTCTATAATTCTTTAAGGATCTTTTTGGGTGTCTACTTTTACCCAGCCTCTCTTATATAACATTAGGTAGATGGAGCTATGCGTGTGTGTGTGTGTGTGTGTGTGTGTGTGTGTGTGTGTGTGTGTTGTAGGGGAGGAGGAGAAGCAGGAGTTGGCAAGGGGAAGAAAGGGGAGGTTCTTAGGAGTGAATATGGTTAAGATGTATGATATACTCTTAAAAGGAATTGTTTTAACAAGACCCAGTTCTATGCACAATGTGGATACAACAATGAGAAAAAAGGACCTGTAACCCACCAGGAAACTTTAAGGGTTCAGGAGCCCTTGCGAGTCACCTGATCAGTTTGTACGGATGCCATCACAGCCCTTGGCATTTCCTTCCCAGCTACAGTCTTCTTTGTATACACTACACACATTGATCTCATGATAACTTTGCCACGCCTCCATTCAAATCAGTATTCAAATGGAAGAGCCATTTGACAGTTCCTTACGTTCCATGTTAATTCCTGCCCCAAATGTGTGTTCTGAACGAGGGTGGACTTCTCACCATTTAATATAAATTATTCTCACGGCTCCAGTGGGTGCACTATCATCCTAGGCAGACAGACAGACCCCGTCAGCAGCTTTTAAGTCATTACACTTCTAAGCTAGGAGAAAACAGGCCAGGAATCATTGAAGACAATTAACTCTCAAAATACTTAGGTTTTAGAGAAGTTGGAATTATTGAGAAATGACCCAGAACTGAGTATTGGGAGATCTGGGGGTAGACACCATTGCCTTCATGTGACAGCAATTTTTCTTTTCTTCTTTCTTCTCTTTTTGGTCTTTTAAAGGCAGGGTCTATCTTAGTCAGCGTTTCTATTGCTGTGAAGAGACACCATGACCATGGCAACTCTTATAAAGGAAAAACATTTCACTGGGGTGGCTTACATTTTCAGAGGTTTAATCCATTATCATCACGGTGTGACATCGTGGCATGCAGGCAGACATGGTGCTGGAGTTGAGAGCCCTACATCTCGTTAGGCAGGCAACAGAGAGTGATCTATCTCATTGGGAACGGCTTGAGCAAATACGAGACCTCAAAGCCCATCTCTATAGCGATACACTTCCTTCAACAAGACCATATCTACTCCGACAAGACCATACCTTCTAGTAGTGCTACTCTCTTTGGGGGCCATTTTCTTTCAAACCACCACAGGGTCTTACTCGGCAGCCTAGGCCAGCCTTGAATTCATGACCTTGCTTATCTAGCATCCGGTATGCTGGGAATAGTCATGTGTGCTGCTAGTCCAACATCACAATGATTTTGACAATGTAACAACTTGTCATCTGGGTCCTCACCATCCCCCTCGAAGGTATAGTGATTAGATGGCTCTGAGTTCCTCTCCCCACACCCCTTCTCTAAAGTCCTCCAGCAAGTTTATCCAGGCTTCTTTAGTCTTTTTTTTTTCCCCCAGCCAGAAACAATCCTCTATGGAGGTCAGACAAAAATCAATGGATTCCGAGACTTCAGGAATTGTTTACCAGCCTTTCTGAAAGCCAAGAGATCTCAAGCAAAGCTCCCTTCATAGGCTTTATTAAACTTATGCATCATTCTCTGTCTTTTGTATCTCCCCATGCTATTCCACCACCGATCCCCAAAGAAATAATAATAATGAGAATAATAGAAAGATGACCAGTTCTTATGTTTCTTCTTCCATGGCTCTTGGAAAATAGTGTGTCGTCACTTCTTCTTCATATATGGCTTCATTGTGGTACCTGCACCAACAGACACAGAGATATCTCAGACAGGGTTCCCTAATGGGTGTTCTTGAGTGGGTAGAGATTCTCTCTGATGGGGCGGTGGAAAGTCAAAAACACTCTCTCTCCAGGAGAGAAGAACTCTGATAAACAGCCACTACTGCTAAACGGACAAGAAGCAATCTAATCTCCTGACTTGGAGCTCAGTGTGCGGTTAGCCAGATACTCAGTGATGCTGTTGGTTTGTATGGCGAACTCAGCCATGCCTCCAATTGCTGGTGCTTTGGGTGAGTGCTGTGTACGGCCCACATCCATAGGGAAATACAGAGACTTTGCAGAGAGAGACAAAAGGACTGCACGGGATTAGAGAGGAACAAGAAGAGTGGTAGTCTACCTAACTGGGTCCTCCATGACTTCTCCCAACCAATTTATATCAGTACTGACGCATAGTAAGTACTGTATGCAAGTAAGCATAGTACAGGATCCTCCTTCGGTGGAAGCCATGCACAACATTTCTAGAGTGTTCCATTTAGACATCAAGTTGGTACCTCCATATTTCATTATCACTAATGATGGCACAAGCTTTGGAACTGATAACCTCTCTGTAGCTTATTATCCATCCTATCTATTGCCAAATACTATCGGTTCTACTTTGGTAATAGAACTGGGAATCAGAGCTGTGATTTCTCTGGTCTGGTATTGCTGGAATGGTTTCACACTCTAGATCCCAGACCGAAAGCTGCATGGCAGCAGAGAGCAAGATAGTGAACAGACAGCCTACAGAACGGGAAAAAGCATGGCCGGCCATGCTTCATCAGGGATTAGTATTAGAATATATAAAGAACTCAGAAAATTAAACTCCCCCCAAAACAAAGCTATCACTCTATAAGTACCAAATAGACAGTTCTCGAAAGAAGAAACAGTCAATAAGCATTTTTTAATGTGCAACACCCTTAGCCATCAAGGAAGGCAAAATAAAAGTAAAATTCCACTTCACCCCAGTTGGAATGGCTATGATCAAGGAAACAAATGATAGCAAATTCTGGTGAGAATATATGGAAAGAGGAACCCTTGTCCACTTCTAAAGGAAGTAAGGACTGCTGTCACCATGGTGAATTCAGTATGGAGGTTTCTGAACAACAACAAAGCAATTCTAAACATGTAACTACTACATGGCATACCTATACCATTTCTGGGTATATATAAAAAGACTATATTCTACCATAGAAATGCTTCCTCATCCATGTTGATCACTGATGGAGGAAGGTCATTGGTTAAAAAATAAAGAAACTGCCTTCCCTCAGTCAGGCAGCCTTGTTTTCCTTCCTCCTGTAGTTGGTGGTGCCTTTTTTTTTTAATAAAGGATTTTGAGTAGGCAGCTAAGCCAGTCAGCTGTTTATTTATAGCTGCAGATTTTCAATGCTGTATAAATTAGAAACCATTGCTGAATTTTATTGGTTAGAACATAGGTGGGTGGAGTAAACAGAACAGAATGCTGGGAGGAAGATGAAGTGAGCTCAGAGACGCCATGCTACCCTCTCCTGGGCAGAAGCAAGCAATGAAGCAAGCCGCCATGTCAGACATGCTGAATCTTTCCCGGTAAGACGGGTGCTACACAGTTTATTAGAGATGGGTTGATCGGGATATCAGAATTAGCCAGTAAGGGCTAGAGCTAATGGGCCAAGCAGTGTTTAAATGAATACAATTTGTGTGTTGTTATTTCGGGGCATAAGCTAGCCAGGCGACCAGGAGCTGGGGCGGCAGGAACACAGCCTGCAGCTCCTACTACAGATCACTGTTCTAATCTCAGCTTAGAAGATGGGAGCATTTAGATGCTCATCAGTAGATGGGTGGATAATAAAAATATAACTCATATAATGATGGAATCTTATTCAGCTGTGAAAAAAATGAAATTTGCCATGACATAGAATCTGGAAATTATTCTGTTGAGTGACCCACACTCAGAAAGACCAACACAAGTTTTCATAGGTAAATACCAGCTTCTAATTTTTATGTACATGTGTATAAGTGGGTTGTGTGAAGGCATGGGTCTCACAATCAGAAAAGGGACCAAGAGCAAAGGAAGGTTTTAAGGAAGGGGAGAGGGTAACAGGACCCATGTGACATGGGAGTAGAATGCTAGCATTGGGAGGATGCAGCCAGGGTGACAGAAGGGTGGGGAAGAAGAGGGGAGAAGAAACAACCACAACAAATGTACGGAAATGCCACAAGAGAACATAGTGCATTGTATGCTAATTGCAAAGCAAACAAACACATAAAAAATTCCAGGTTATTTTCAACACTTCTGTTTTCAACAATACACATTGTAGCTGGGAATATTGTTCAGAGGTAGGGGGTGCAAGTCCCTAGGTTCAATTCAAGCACTGCTAAAAGTAAAATCAAACAAACACAGAAAAAACAGTATATACTGCAAGTCTGCTGGATTTCCTGGGGCTGGAGTTATAGACTGTGAGACATCATATGGGTACTGGGGATTGAACCTGGATCCTCTGGAAGATCAGTCATTATTCTTAACCACTGAGCCATTTCTCTAGGGCGGTGGCTGGTATCTTGAAGTCCTACTTGTGGCCTTTCAGTCACCTTGATTTCCTTTAAAAATAGCCTCCCTGATCCCAAGATCCTTATAAGCACACTTGCATTCATGCCTCCCACCGACTCACACTGTTGCAATTATTCCAGGAGAGCTTCAGTCCTACTGAGCCTGAAGGTTTCATATTACATTAATTTTCTCTTTTCATTTTTATGTGAGTCACACCAACTCCCAGTAACTCTTTTCGGGTTTCTCTCTCTCTCTGTCTCTCTCTGTCTCTCTCTCTGTCTCTCTGTCTCTGTCTCTCTCTCTCTCTCTCTCTCTCTCTCTCTCTCTCTCTCTTTGTTTTTTGAGATAGGGTCTCATGATGTAGCCTTGGCTGGCCTGGAACTCACCCTTATAGACCCAGCTGACACTGAATTTACAGATCCCTGCCTATTTCTGCCCCACTACTGAGATTAAAGGTGCAGACCACCATGCCTGTCCCAGTAGTCTCCTCTATGCTCTAAATTCAATGGCATCTCCTTCTCTTGGCTGAGTATGTATGTTAGCCCTTTAAGTAGCCTCTGTCAACTGAAGAGCAGCTTCCTTCACATTCAAAGGCTTGATCAATATACATTTCTCAACGATGTTTGCTCTGCTCTGACTCTCAGGGGTCCTAGCATTCTCTCTATCTGCGTGTTTTTCAAGCCCCACCTCTTGTATCTGACTGTAATCATAGCCTCTCTCCTCAGGCCCGGTACAGAGTACAAAGATTCAGAGAAAAGCAGAAATGATGGCTTAAGCTCTGTTGGGAGAGGAGGGTGTCTCCTTCTCTACGTCAGAGTCTCCTCCATCTTAACTTAAGTAGCTAGATGGAATGCTAGGGAATGGCCACATGTCCACTGCGATGTCATGGGTATGACTTGAGTTAGCTCCAAGCATTCACTGCGATTAAAGTATTGGCCTCTGTGTGATGCTGCTGGGAGGTTATGAAACTTTTGGGAGTTAGACCATAGTGGGAGATTTTTAGGTTATTGGGGTTACGGAGAAATTCTCATAGGACTGTTAGTTGCCTTAGCTTTGAGCGATTAGTCTCTTTACAGTGTGAGATGTATTAGCTTGCTTGATCTCTAAAATACACTATGATCTGTAACCTATATGTCACCTTCACTGGAGGCCAAATCAATAGAACTCCCCCCTCCAAAACAGTGAGGCACATATAGTACTTTCTGCTTTTTTAACATTAACTGTCTTAGGTGTTTTATTATGGCAATGAAAAGCTGACTAATATACTGACCCCCATGGAGAAGGCACCTTCCCACACAATCCTGTGTGGAGATTTGAGTCACTTCATTCTGTAGAGAATTACATGCTTTGATTTCTTCCGAAAGAGTGTTTTTCTTGTGTTTCTAGCACACCGAGGCATGAGATGGGTCTTTAGTTTTGCATTCTCTCAGAACTGAGCAATTTCCAGGCTCCCTTGTGTCTTCAAAATTTATTCTCTGACCATGCTTCTATATTGCATGGAAACTGCCAACTTATTAAGAGGCCATCTATCTTCCATAGATGACATTTACAAAGTGGATTTCAAGCTCTGAGTGGGAAATAAAGACGGTTACTGGAGTACTTTTTGATTGAAGGGAATGTTTCACAGTGAAAAGCCTCCTAGTTGGCAGCCAGAGGGTTGCCCCCCCCCCAACTTCTCTAGTCTTTTCTTCATCCTCTTTCATGTATGTCAGAGAGAATTTAAGACCAATCTGCACTATCACTTGCTGGTGTGGCAAGACAAGTGCTCTCGCCTATATGACTACAGACACCACACATGTCTTTATGACTCCAGGAGTCAGAACACAAGACAATTTTTTTTTTACTGACTCCTTAAATACTGACAGTTGTATGCCTACAACTACACTCATCGGAGCTGTTAAATGGAAAATGTAAAGAGCGTTTTCTGGCTTCAGAGGACCGCCTTGGAGAAGCTCAGTGCAGATGGCTATTTCAGTGATCTTGGCTGCTTTACATGGCCTGCTTCAACATGCGCCTCTTTCTTCAACAGCTCTTCAGTGGGTACACTGCACCCCCACCTGCCTAGACACCCAACTCCTAGCCCAGTGTCATACAACTGCTACAGCTACTGTCCTAACAGCTAATTCCAGAAAACCTTTGTGAGTATTCTTTCTTCCTACCTAGAGAGAAAAAACCCCCACCCCTTTTAAACTACCTGCTCTGATTGAGCCATTGGGAAAGCTAGCAGAGACAGAGAGTCAAAGATGACTAAGGCATCCTAACCCTTAGGAAACTCTAAGTCTTCTACAAAGACAAAGACTTAAAGCTATCACAAAAGAAACATAGGTCTGGCCTTTAAAAGATGGAGGAAGAGCCATGGAACAATCGAAAAGGACACTGAGTCAAACCTGGGCAGATCAGGGCAGCCATCTTAGAGATAAATTGAAATAAATGAATAAACGTGAGCCAGACAATGACTGGAGCTGAGCGGGGGGGGGGGGGGGGGGGGGGGGAGCTTATATCCATGAGGGCAAGAGCAATACCCGTGTGGAGGGAGGGAATGGAAGGAGACTTGGAAGAGGATGAGAAAAAACACTAAGACAGGAACCAACTCATAGAGAATCTGTGTTCTGAGGGCTGGGCTTTCCTCTGTAAGCCAGGAGAGGATTAAAATAGGTTCGCATGGACTGTCCGTCCTGTTGCATTTTAGCCATTTAAAAACATTAACCGCCAATGAAATTTCAAGGGCTCCAGTTTCTCTTCTAATGCTTTTCACCCCCTTTGATGCAGTGGCTTGGACTGGCCCCTGAGCTTGTGATCGATCTTCCTGCCTCAGCCTCTCAGCTCTCTAAAGCAAAAGCATTATGGGCATGTGTCAACCACGGCCTGCCCTCGCTGCATTTTCTTCTTCATCACTTGGTTCTTTGCAGTAAATGATAAAAACAAACAAAACAAACAAAAAAAAACCCCCCAAAAACGTAATTCTTATTCTGGTCTGATGCAGTGTAAGCCTTTTGGCCTATTTGTCTGTTTTTCTCAGAAGTGCCGAGCCAGAGAAGAGGCATATCACTGTCTATGCTAATCTCCATCTTGTATGTCACGTGCAGGTTCTTGGTTAGTGGGAGCCCGTGTGCTGATAAGCAAAATTGGACACACTACTCAGCACTGGGGTCTATTAGGAGCTTGCTGCTTTGGGGATTTGAAGGATAATAAACACAGTGAGATTTTATTTTATTAAAAATGTATTTGTTATCCCAGCACTCGGGAGGCAGAGGCAGGTGGATTTCTGTGGGTTCAAGGCCAGTCTGGTCTACACAGTTAGTTCCAGGACAGCCAAGGCTACACAAAAACAAACCTGTCTCTAAAAATAAAAAAAAAACAGCAAAAAATGTATTTATTGTTTTTATTTATGTGCATGTATGTATGTCTGTGTGACTTTATGTATGCCATGTGTGTAAGTGCTCTCAGAAATCAGAGGGTGGGGAATCCCTAGAACTCAGGAGGGATAATTTATATTTTAATTTAAGATGTTTAACATTTACTATTGCAAAGAAACGACTTAAAGCATCAATCATCTACAAACTCAATACAACTGTTTTAAAGACTCACTGTTCTTGATAATCTCTAAGTAACTGAGCTTTCTTTATCTGCATTGCCAACCATCAGATTCCAAATGGAATCTGCACATCCCTCCCTCCCTCCCTCCTGTTTCTGTTTTCAGAATTATAGATCTTTGAGAGTCATCAGAAATCTTCACCTAGAAATTCAAGTGCCCCCAAAATTGCTAGAATTAGATGCCAGTACATTTGCAGTCCCAGTCCCTACTCCCAATGAGTTCCCTGAGAACAGGAATTCTGGGTTTGAAATGCTGGTTTTAGGAGTTTGTTTTTGCAATTTAAGTTAGTTTGGTTTGCTTGTTTGCAGCGTCTCATTTAAAATGTTTCATAGAAAACACTGCCTTTATGTCCCTTTCTCAACAGAAATGGAGGAGGAGTGGATTGGGTGGCGGCAGGAGGGAGGTGCGGGAAGGAATAGGAAGAGAAGAGGGGGGGGGGAACTGCGATTGTGATGTAAAATAAATTAATTCAAAAACATAAACTAAATCTTCCAAGAGAGGTAAATGCCAAGTTGACCATTTCTTTCTCAGCGGTCTCAGCCTCTCTTTAGATATAGCTCATTCTAGGCCCTTGGACAGCACCCGCCCTTTGCATCCACAAGTTTATGCTTCCCGTGAACTCAGAGAATGGTGGGAGATGCCATTTCTGTTTGATAGACCAGAACTGCTGGTAGCTGAATGCATGGGGGTGGTGCCTACAGGTTTTTTTTTCTGCTTTGTTATATACAAAACTAAGGTGAATTTCTGCGTGTCTCCTTGCAGAATTAAAACATAAACTACCACCCCTAAATTCCAGGAATGGTGCACCAAAATTATCCTGAGATATCCTTCCTCCCCTTGATAGCTATTTGTTGCCTGCCTCTGCATCTGGCCTACCATGGCCTACTATCTTTTCTGACTGTCACATAAAACCTTTGGAATGAATAACTTGACAGACTGCTTACTCCCACTAGCCCCTAAACTAATAATCATCAGATAATACCTGAAACCTATAGCAGAGTTTCCTCCACCTTGCCATAGCCCATGGGCCCACCCACCTGCTGTCCCCATCAATGCGTCAATGTTTGGTTTAATGCGTTGATTTGTGATTGTCCTTTGTTTGTGACTGTGCAAGTTCGTGCACCTTCTTCAGTCAAGGAGGGGAACATCATTCAGAGCAACCTGAATCCATGTCTCCTGGGCCGTGCTTACTCACATTTGGCTCAGAATGAACTATCTCTTACAGTTCAGAACGAGAGTCACATTTTTTTAAGGACAAAAGGAACTCACACTTTAAGAGTTCCTGTCCCCCAAGCCCTCCCTGGGATGAGCGAAGACCCTTCTAGGATTTCCCCCCCCTCATGTTTGGGGTGGTAACACCTCATTCTTTGGTTCCTAAAGTTTTGAAAGAAGATTCGGTCTTCGAGTTAAATGAGATATTATTTGGCAGAAGAGAGGAGACACTTGGAGTTCTCCAAGGGAATGCCATCTTGCACCAGGTTTTTCTTCTTCTACTTTCCATAGACCCCACTTGAGCTCTATAACAAAGGCACACCTGGCAGTGCCTTCTGGCTTGGACTAAGCTTTCCTTTGGTTTAGGTGGAGAGTAAAGAATGGATAAAAGAGAGATGGATCTCTATGGACTATGGGCGAGAGGTTTGGGTGGAGAGCGGAGAGTGGGTAAGAAAACGGATCTCTGCGGACTGAGGGCGAGAGGGAAGCACTGACCCCACTTCCAGTGATTGATCTTCTCTCCAAGCAAGTAGATGCCGGCACTCAGGATGTAACTGGCCGAGAAGAAGATGATAATACCCAGTGGGTTGAGGGAGGCAAACACGGGGTACACCCAGTTTCCGGTCTGAGAGTAGCGCCACAGGATCCTGCATGAACAAGACGTCAAAATGATCAGGACCACAGAGGCCAACAAACTATTTTCCCCTCCGGTTCAGTAGGACGCTGGAAGACAGCTGGTGAAAACCAGCCCCGAGGAACGTTTGTCAACACCTGAAGTGCTCCTGCAGATCTACAGAAGGGAGTCTATATCATCTTCTAGGGTCGTTACTTGTTTCAATAAAACATCTTTTTTTTTTTTCATGGAATGAGTCAGCCTTTTCCTTATCTGGTACTTTGTGATTCATCTAGGTGAAAGGACAGAAGCATGTCACACATCATCAGCGAAGGAGGGAATGTGAGCACGTGACTTCATTACTGCTTTCTCTGAGATGGACAGCTGCCTGAGACACTGGACCTGTGAAGACAGTGTCAATTTTGTAGCCTGCAGCTGAAGGAGTGATGTGTGCTGCCCTGGGTGTTGGTACCTAAGAGGACAAGCTTCTCTTAGCTCTCCAAGTCTTGTTGACACAGGTCGGGTAGGGATGGTTCGTCACTGCTCTAAAGCAGGATGCCCGGAGATTGAGTGTTATCCCTAACTTTAGCTCACAGAAACTCTTAGGCAGCCAGCACTGGATGAGTTGGTAGGGAAGCTCAGAACTTACTCATGTGAGGATAGACTATAAGCTGTTCCTGTGAGCCAAGGGACAGAAAAGAAATGCTGGGAGAGAAGCCATGATGTCTAAGTGGAAACTAAAAATGCGGTTTGCTGGAAGTCAAATGCACCGGAGATGCCAAAGTCTGAAATAACTTAAAACACAGAATATGTGTTAAGGGCTGATGTCGCCTCTGCTGTGGCTTACGATTGTTAAGTGTAGAGGATCTGGACACGGACTCTGTGACTTAAATGTTCAGTCTGCCACCTACCAGCTACATCACCTCCATCATGTATTAACTGCTGGTGTAGGCTGGGGTCCAAACAGCATAGCCTCATCAGGATACTGCAAGAATGGCTGCAACGAACCAGGTGTTTGCCACCCATGTATTTCATGTGCAAGAGACATAAGATAGTGCCTGCCATGTGGGAGTCTGACAGGCCTGAGAATCAGAATTACAACATGGCTGTCTATCAGAGGGTGGTGTGGGAAGTCCTTCTATATATGTGTTGCTTTTATTGGTTAATAAATCGAGCTGCTTTTGGCCAATGGCTTAACAGAGTAAAGTCAGGCAGGAAATCCAGAGGTGTAGAGAGAAAGTAGGTGGAATCAGGAAGAAGCCATGTAGCCGCTGGAGGAGAGAGATGTTGGAAACTTGTCAGTAGGCTATGACCTCGTGATGATGCACAGATTAATAGAAATGGGTTAATTTAAGATATAAGAGCTAGCTAGAAATATGCACAAGCTATTGGCCAAGCAATGTTTTAAATAATATAGTTTCTGGGTAGTTATTTCAAATTTAGGAAGCCAGGAACAAATGAGCAGCTTCTGCCAACAGGAGGAGGGCAGAAATAGGAAGCTTTGTGCTTAATTAAGCTTTCAAAAACCTGAATGTAATCTCTGCCATTTCTAATACATTCAGTTTGGTAAGTGTTTTGTGGACAAGGGCTAATATTTAGGCCCAGGCCTAGGGTGGGGCAAAGGGGATCTAGAGTGGGGAATTTAGAGGCTCATCTCTATGGATCAAAGGATACTGTCAACTGTTGCAAGATATTTGATCACACTGAGATTGCGTTATTTACTGGAAAAGCCTGTTTCTAGTTGTGGTGTGGCTGAGCCCTAGCATTCACCTTTAATCCAAGGGCTTTCTGCTTGAATATTGTAAACAGGATTAAATAAAGTCAACCATAGGTCAAGAGGTGGAGCAAACACAGAGAGTAAGAGGGAGTCAGGAGGATGGACAGAGAGGCACACAGGAAGCAGAAGGGAGGAACATTTAGTTTGAGAAGTTTTGTTTGAGCTGGTGTAGGAGAAAGCTCTTTCTGGGACATCAGTGGAGGAAGAAGGTCAGATGGGCACATTCTCTGCCTCTTTGAGCTTGCAGGTTTTCATGCCAACATTTGGCTCCCAAGTCTTTGTTGATAAAATTGAATGATTAAGATTTAGTCAAAAAGAACAGTCAACAGTGTAGAAGGGCTATCTACAGGATGGAGAAAAATATATGCAAATAACATATATATATATATATATATATATCAATAGGCTAACACGTAGACTATATAAATAATTTGCCTAATTAAAAAGCACTCCCAAACAATTCAATTAGAAACAGACAGGTGACTTGGATAGACAACCTACACAGAATATAAACAAGGACGATGTCAGGTGTCACTAAAATGGAGAATGCAGATCAAAGTCATGAGCCCTTGCATTGTTACACAGAATGGCTTCTATCAAAACTAAACCCAAAACAAATCAAACCACAGGACATACTTGTTTAGGAGGATAAGGAGAAATTGGATCCCCTCTTTGCCATTGGCTAGGGAAACTGTAAGGCAGTCCTTCAGAGTGTTAGGACAGGTTATCATCGCCTGTGTACCCTCATTGCCACTGAGTAACACGCTCTGTGACTTGAAATGGGAGACCCAAAGATAACCATGCTTTAGAGTTTATAGTCCAAAGGTGGAAACAGCCCAAGAGGCCACTGATGGGTGAAGGGTGGAGTAAAAACATGACGTTAAAAAGAAAAAGAACGAAGATTGCAACATCGGTGTGAACCCTGAAGGCGCTATGGCGAGAAAAGGACACATGGAATCCATTTAGAGGGGGAGGCATCAGATTCCTAGAGACAGAAAGGTTGACGGTAAGTGTGCGTGGTGGGCAGAGAAGGGATCCCCAGGGAGGTGTTGTTTAGTGGGTTCAGAGTTCTGGGTGGGGGGTACAGGAATAGCTAAATAATGTGAATGTACTTGGCGCCACTTCAAATGAGCAAAATAGTTGACTTTATGCTACATTCACCTTGTCACAGTTAAAATCAATTTAGGGCACTACGCTAGCTAGTTTTAGTTAAACTTGACACAAGCTAGAGTCATTTTGAAGCTGGAACTTCAATAGAGACAATCCCCCACTAAATTGACCTCGTAGGTAAACCTGTGGTACATTTTCTGGATTGATGATTGATGTGGTCAAGCCTATCTCATTGTGAGTGATGCAGTCGGTCCTGGGTTCTCTACAAGAAACAGGCTGAGAAAAACATGGTAAGCGATTCAGTAACACTCCTCCATGGCGTCTGCTTCACTGCTCACCTTCAGGTTCCTGCCCTGGTGTTCCTTGGAAGTTGTAAACTGAAACAAACCCTTTCCCCACCCTCACTTTGGCCCTGGTGTTTTATTCAAGCAACAGAAATCCCTAACTAAGACAGACAGCATCAGTCTTGGGGTCATGCAAGTGTATGACCAAGTTCAATGCTTGGTCCCTAGTCCTGCAGTACTGGGACCTTTAGTCTCCCAAACCTATCATCCATGTAGCTGCTCCCTGCTACATGGATGATGTGATGGCCATAACAAACTGATATCATTCATTGTAATAAATACTAGGAAGAAGATGTGCATGGAAGAGATGCATTGCCGAAGACTTTTCTTGGTGTTTCTTGCCTGCATGGTTGTTTCTTAGAACAGAACGGAGTAGGAACAAGGGGCAGAAAACAAATGTCCCCAAGCAGATAAGAATGATCCCCGAGCACACTCCCAGATTCTATTAATTAGTTCACATGGTTTACTTTAGATACATGAAATTAGGGCTTCTTAACTCCCATGTCCTTTTCTGTAAAGTAGTCTACAAACAACGCCATCCCCCTATGGACATGAGATGTTTCTGCTAACTTCACTTGTGTTTCCTTTCAGCATAAGGTTTAGGAAGGAAAGATCCCTGAGGTTAGGAAACCTTCACAGAGAGCATGCCAGAGAAGTGATAGCTCTTAGGTGGCAGGAGCAAAAGTGGAAGAAAGCCCGGTGGAGAAAAGAAGGGAGTAAGGAGGGGAGGGGAGAGGGAGGAGGGATTGTAGTATACCCTGTTTGCATCTTCACACCTCACCTCTATCTCCTGTATGGACTGAATTTGAAACTCATCCACATTACCCTGGTCCTTGGGTGTGAGGCTTCCTCCTTGTTAAAGACCACGGGGGTTCCTGTCTGTCTGATCTCAGCAGCTGGCAACCTCTGCTACCCTCCTGAACCACCTTATCACCAAGACAAGAGCATCACCCCAGCATTTGCTTCCTGATTCTTTTCCTTATCTCTCCCTGTGACTCCAGAAATCACTTCCCACCTGAGGGGTCAACTACTGGTATCTCCCTGCACCCATCTCCCTTCAGAAAAGATGAGGTGAGTCTCCTCTTGGGGGTTGGGTCTCAGTCTTTGGTGTGAGAAAGTGCTGTGTAGGGTGTGTGGGGTGTGTGATGTGTGGATTACTTTCCTAACACCCTGCATGCACCCTAAACAAATCAAACCAGTGTTAGTTGTTAGTTTTTGTTCGTTTGTTTGTTTTTTGTAGGGGAGGGTTTTGAGGTAGGATTTCTCTGTGTAGACTTGGCTATCCTAGAACTCCCTCTGTAGACTAGGCTAGTTTCGAACTCAGAGATCTACCTGCCTCTGCCTCCTGAGGGCTGGGGTTAAAGGCATACACCACCACCAACTGGCCCAGCATTAGACTTTAATAGACCCTGAAAATGGTATTTTGAACTGGCCATTTAGAAAACGATTCCTAACTATTTCGTTCACAATTCATCCTCATCTCTATGAGTGAAACCACGGTCTTTTCCTGCCACTACCTGAAAATCTTAAAAGTCTCCTTAATGTGTCCTTTACATCTACCTAGTACAGGCCAAACAGTCTACAAAGCAATTCACTCCTTCAGCAATATAGTTCTGGTAGATTCTTCATTCCCAAAGAATCAGCCGCCTGCTTTATGCTGCTGTTATTTCTAGTTTCTGTTACCAGCATAGTAATTACCTTTTACTTTGTTCCCCAGAGGCTCAGCCCTAAATGCTGAGCATAGAGGGGCATGGGGTGTCATCCTGATGGTTGTTTTCATACATCAGCATGATGGCTGCTAAGTATCACTGTGGAAAATGGGGCTGCAATTCCAACCCTTGCTAAGATTTGAGCTTCAAAACCATGCTGTGGGAGAATTGTTCACACTGTCGCTCCACGGTGCCAATAAAGCCTCCTTGAATCAAGGATGGGGTCACTGATTGGCTGACCTGGATTAGCCATAGAGATATTGGAAGACTGAGGAAGTCGGATGGAAGTGGGACAGGAAGGAGAGGGAGGGGCTATGGGGATGTCTGGGACTTTTCAGATGCGGGGAAGAATAGAGATTATAGGGTCAGCTGATGGTCCTTCCACTATTTCTTGGATGTATCATGTTTTCGACCTCAATTTCTCACTCCCATGTTTTAATTAATGATAGAACAATTTAGGTAAATGCCATGAGACTATGTCTGACTTTGAGTGTTGCATTTTAGAAATAGCAAACAGTAACTCTTGGAAGATTTCACCGTGATGTAATAATTGGAAAAGAAGGGTAGGGTGGGTATGGCCAGCTTATCTGAACTCAGCTTGGCTTAGCTCTTAGTAGCCTGTAATATAGTCAATATAAATATATACAATTTATCGTTGTGTGTGTGAGTGAGGGATGGGCTTAAAGACTGTTATTCTTGAGGCATGTGGTAGTTAATGTTGACTGTTACCCTTATTGTTATTCCTGTAACTGGAGTCATCCAGGAGACAAGCTGCTGAACACACCTGTGATGATTATTCTCATTCGATTAGCCTCTTGGGCGTGGCTAGGCAGGACTGTCTTGATTGGGCTGACTGAGGAGAGGAAACAAGTGAGTGGTACCACTCACGGGTCTGGAAAGGAGAGGGTTGGCTGACTCGCAGACATTTATCATTCTCCTCTTGCTGACTGTGGATGCTGTGTGAACAGCTTGGGGTGGTGTTGACCCTGCGTGGTCTCTCGGGTCTCAGCCCCTACGCCTGCCGCTCACGATGCCACCCTGTGCCCTTCCTTCCTTCTCTGTGTGCCTGCAGCTCCTTGTGCGTTTATTCCATTTTATCACTTTCCAGTCCAGGCTCCTGCAGTTTGGATGCCAGGCTCATTTCCACTTCTTAAGTATCGGTCCCCTGCAGGCTGGAGCCTGGCCTTATATGACCTCACTTTTCCAACAGGACCAGCTTGCTATTAGGGGAAATATTTGTTCAAACCCCCTTTTTAAAGAGGAATAGGGCCAGCAGCAGGAACAGTCCTTTCTCCACCCATCGCCATTGCCTCAGACAGAGTGAGGCAAGGTGTTTTGGGGGTGAGAGAGCAGGGAGGCAGAAGCAAGACAACAGATTTATAGGTGGCTGAAGCGATCCAAAGGAAACGAAGCATTTTTTGTTGTTACTCCTCGGCAGGGCTTTGTTTTTCCTCTGCAGGGCCAAACCTCTAATTTTGCAACCTGAAAAAGTAACAGAAAGAGAACAGCACTGGGGAGACAGTCCCCAGGGGGTCCACGTGGCTATTTTTAGGCCATTGTACTGTGGCTTTATCAGAATGATGTCTCTGGTGCAGTTAGCAGCTCCTTGCAGACTCAAGTTTGTTTTTCTTTCTCTCCGTGGCCCAGCCTGTGTTCAGGACCTCATTCTTGCTATGCTGTCTCCGCATTTGACCATCTCAAGCGGCACACCCTAAGAGCTGTGCCAACACTTCTCCATGGGTGTCTACTGCTAGGGAATTTACTATAGCCATGTGTGCTCTAGGAGCCTGAAGGTGCATTTTGTTGGACAAGGCAGAGCTAGCAGGCAGCAGAGAGTCTCATGTCCTCTTCCTGGGGACTGGACTGAACTATGGAAGTGTCTACCTTGGGACACCAGCAAAATGGCCTTCTGGTATACTTGTGTTCCATTTATTCTGGTACAAAGTTGGGTTTAAAGCCACCTTGAACTGGGGTCTCTTGCTTCCAAACCTAGTTCTTTCTCCACAGTGTACACATGGCCAAGAGCCTGCTCAGCTCCCAGTGTGTGCAAAACCACCATGCTGGGGGCCGGGGGAATAGGTGGGCACACCGCTTGCCTTAGTCTCAGTACTTTCAAACCTTTCTTAAGGTTTTGTGCTTGTACTTTGTTCCTTCCCCGGCTAGATCCCTCGGCCTTATGACCTCATGACCTTGAGCATGCCATCTAAGCCTTTGGAACCCTGGTGTTCAAAGGCCTCTGACCTCTAAGCTGCCATCCTCCATTCAGGTTCTGAGATATATTGTGGTTTTTGAGCATTTGGCTGACATTGACACTTCTGAGTCAGTGACTACCTCTCTTCTTCCCTCATCTCCTTTCCACACTTCAGCCACGGTCCCTTACCTACCATTGTACTTAACTCACAGTACATGGGAACCTACTTAAATCTTTTTTAAACCAGAAGAGCACTCTATGTTTAAATGCCAGCTCACTGAGATATATTCATGGTCTAACTTTTCTCTGTCCTCCCATTCAGCTTTGTGCTCACCTCCTTTGGTGCTTCAGGGTGGTCATTCCCTTAGCTGACTAATTTTTGCTCACGTCTTCTCTGAGTTGTTACTCTTGCTCTGAATCTCAGACGAAATGATTCTTCCCTTTAGAGGCCAGCACTGACCATCAGTTGCAGCTCCCTGGTCTCCCGGCCACCAGTTTTATTACTGTGAATTCCTTGTCCTGTGTCCCCTCTCATTCCCAGACAGTCCCTAAGAGCCACAGGCTTCTTGTGCCTCTCCGTGTACTCAGTATCTGAATCATACAATATAGCCTCAATATGTGATCCTGGCGTCAACTCCAAGTGGTCACCAGCTAGAGCTCTGTTTTCTTAAAGTGTCCCTTTGTGAAGCTTTAATAATCCCCAAGGGTGGAAAACAGTACAGAACATGATTCTCAGAGAAATTATATTATACAAGAACTTCCTTCAAAAGAAAAGCAAAAAAGACCTTGGCACTTGGGGGTGGGGAGGATGAGAAAGGATGGGGAGAAGATAGGAAGATTTTGGGATGGAAAGAGAGGTCATGAAGTTCTGGGTACCAAGCTGGTAACTTCAATGAAAAATGTGCTGCCAAAGGGCCTGGGATACCTTCTCCCATCTTAGTTAGGTTTGTATTGCCACGAAGAGATGCCATGTCCACAGCAGCTTTTACACAGGGAAGCATCTAACTGGGTGGCTTACAGTTTCAGAGATTTGCTTCATTGTCATAACAGTAGGATGTGACTGTGTGCAGGCAGATATGGTACTGGAGAAGGAGCTGGAGAAGGTTCTACAGCTTGCAGGCAACAGGAAGTGAACTAAGCTACTTGGCATGGCTTGAACACATATGAGATCTCAAAGCTCACCCCACAATGACACACTTCCTCGAACAAAGCCATAGCCCTGGTAGTGCCATTCCCTGAGATTATAGGGGCCAATTGCATTCAAACTACCACGCCTCCCCATGTCGTTTGAAATGTCATCCTATGATTTGCTCTCATTATTAACAGAGTGCTGTTAATAATAACTCTAAATGGCTTCCCATATAGAAATTGGATGATCCAGACTGCCATGGGTTCAGTATTCAGGTTCTGCGCATGGATGGCATGACCCTTTCAGACATGAAATAATGTCATATGAAAGGCTGTGGACAGTAGGACTGGGTCTATAGCCCATTAGTAGAGTGCTTGCCTGCTATGTATGGGGCCCTCAGTTCAACACGAGCACCATGAAACTGGGCAAGGTAGTTGTGGTGGTTTAAATGAAACTGGCTGTGACGGGCTCCTAGAGAGTGCGCTGCTAGAAGTGGCCTTGTTGGAGAAGGTATGGCCTGGTTAGAGGAACTTTGTCACTAGGGGTAGGCTTTGAGGCTTCAGATGCTCAAGCTAGGCCCAGTGTCATTCTCTTCCTGCTGCCTGACAATCCAGGTGTAGAACTCTCAGCTCCTTCTTTAGCACCATGTCTGCCTCTTCCTGCCATGATAATGGACTAACCCTCTGGACCTGTAAGCCAGCCCCAATTGAACGTTTTCCTTATAGGGGTTGTCATGGTCACGGTGTCTCTTCACAGCAATAGCTAACTAAGGCAGCAATACAGTTTTGTAATTTCACCACTTGGGAAATAGAGACAGGAAGACTCAAAATAAAGACCATTGGGTTATTCTCGGTCATTCCAAGAGGTTGAGGCCACCATGAGCTACATAAGACCTTGTCTCAGAATAAACAAACAAGCAAAGAAAGAAGCTGAGGAAGGGAACTGGGCTTCTTCAAGTTCCAGACAGAAGGTCGTGTGCATGCCCTTGATTGCAGACTGTGGGGCAGCATTACAAAGACCGAGGGTCACCAGGTAATTGAATAATCAAATCAAGACCAGTTACCTGATTCATTTCCCATGTTCTTCAGGTCCCTGGCAACCTCCCTCTAGGTCTGCGGCTTGAGATGATGCAGGGCACCAGCATCCCCACCCCCACCAAATGCCCCCTTTTAGGTGCAGTAAATATAGATGCTTTGGAGCAGGCATTCATTCTCTCAAACATTCTAATTGCAAATGAAACTGAAATCAATATATTCTTGGAAACAGAAGCATGTGTGCCACTTGGCAATAATTACCTTTCATGAGGGGAGAATGAGGAAGTTGTGGCTTGTCGTGTGTGTGTGTGTCCTCTGAATATGAGCTTTCCATGAGTATTAGAATCAAACAATAAGAACCCTTTCCCTTGAGAAATTTAAAGATTGGTTTTATCACTGACTAAACCAACCAAAGTACTGATTTAATGATATGTTCTTATGGAATGTTCATTTGGGTCACCAATGGCAAGTCTCAGGGGACCCTTTTTGTGCAATTCTTACCTGATAATGTAGGCAAGGTTACAAGCACCCAACAAGGAGAGGCCTAGCTTCTTCGGTGGGTAGTAGTGTGGTCGAAGAATGGCTTCCATCAGTGATAAGGGGAATATGGAGGTATGCTGGGGAAGAGAAGAAGACAAACTGTGAGGCTGGGGAGCCTCTCACAGTGCATGTAAGCCTCTTGCATCCAAAGCCTCCTGATGTTGAGTCCTGGTAACTGTCCCCACCTAAGTCACAGAGTCCTCAATTGGGAGGATCTGGGTGCTTCTACCTAGCCTATGGGGTTGGAGCTCAGGTCTTTGGCTCAGGCCACTCCTCATTGACTGTCCCACAAGACTTGGGCTCAGGGGGAGTCTCCAGGAGTTGGTAGCTTCTTTTGTCCCTTGCAGCTAGAGCCCAATCAGGAGATCAAGGCGAGCTTCGAGTGATGAAGATGAGCTTTAGGTGACCAGTTTTGTGACTTGTGGGACTGGGGTAATAAGATGCAAATGTTAAGGATAAGGGCAAGGGCATCATTGGCTGGAGTATCCCAGCCAGGGTCGCAAATGGGTGACAAGGGAACGCTGAGCATCCTAAGGGCTTGGGATCCTGGGTGGTAGTAACAAGGCGTAGAGAATAGCACAGCTTTTAGGCACTTTGCTTGACTCTGGGTCGTCCTGGGGATTCCCTCCCCTGCCCAGCACAGGTCCCAGAGCTCCCAGATACAGTAGGCTCCAACTTCTGATCATACTCAATGGCTGATCTTAGCATTGTCTCTATGTAGAAGCCAACATAGGAGCTGTCAAGGGACAGAGTTGTCTGCCCTGCATAGAAACCTGCCTCTCTTCCTGCCTTTGCAGTGGGAAGGACGAATCCAGCTTCTATTAGGCGTCATTAACAAGTCCATTATGCTGGCCATTCAGCTGACAGATTTTATTAACCTCACCCACAACCAGAAGCTTCCTGTTGTCTGCACTAATGATCGTTGGGAACAGAATTGCTGTGGAATAATGCAGTGTGTTTGCATTAGGAGTAAATGAGTTCATGGTGATTAGTGCTTTTACAACCAACAACTCAGGGGATGCATGACTGGCCATCTCTACTAGGTGCCTGCCCTTTGCTAGTGACACACAATTGGATTTCCAAACGAACTCTCCCTGATGGCTTCTGGGAAATTCACTTCCGTGATGCCATTAGTGATGGTCCACAGAAGGTGGCTTCTCACCAGTGAGAAGGTCTTTAAAGTATCACATTTTCTCACAGGGGTTTGGGGTAGGCAGGAGTGAGGCCGGAAGACCGCAATCTACAGGCTTTGTAAATACTGAGCTGCCGAGCAGAGCCAAGCCCGATGCAATAAAACCTCTTCGGTGCTTCCGATATATCCATGTCTCACCTCATATTGACATAAATTACATAATCTTTGCCAGAGAGCACAGATTTCAAAGAAAAAAAATGGGGAAAGAAAGAGTTCAATAAGGGAAAAAAATCAAATATGCTTTCTGCTTCCAACAAAATCTAATAATTAGGCTGGGATTGACACAAATTAGAACGCTGCCAAAAATTACCGCAAACAGTGACTCAGTCTGTATTTCAATTAACAGTTTCTCAGTTTCCCTTATAAACCGTGAAGCTGACAAAAATTAATTATCTCAGAGAGGGTAAAATATTTCCGTCTGAAGTAAACAAAACATCGCAGGCTGAAACAATGGCATATGTAAACACAGTGGGAGGGGCGAAGCTATCTCTCCCAGTCAATGAAGTTGTCTCTTGGGTGAATTCTCCTTTCAATGTGCTGTCCCTTTTTGTCCCTCCCGGTTATTCCTTCTCCCCTAGTCTTTCTATAATGCCAACTTCCATCCGAATTACATGCAAAATATTAGTTTAGGTTTTAGTACAATAATTGTACTTTAGCTTCTCTGGGGTTGTGAATAATAACGATAGAACATTCTTACTGATTGCAAGAGAAGCAACTGGAAAAGCGATGATAGCGATTTGTGCTCGCATTCCTGTTCACCTCCTTCCTGCAGAAAAGCGGCTGCTAGGGTGACCCTGCGGGGTGACCTGAACCTACCATAGCTGCCTTCTCTGACTCTCAGGCAGCATTCCTCAGCCAATGAAAGCATGCGTGGAACCCACGGGCATCGTGGTTTTGGTCTTTGCTCTGTAGTTTGGGATCTGCCTCACAGTTTGACCCTGCTCATAGCTACGGAGGTCCCAGAGACTACATCTACAGGACAGCCAGTCACCTAAGACTCTAGCGGTGGAATGAGGGTTGGGGGAGGAACATTTCATTTTTCTCTAATTAGAAAGAAAAGATCACTCTAAATGTGGGAGACACCATTTCAGGGACTGAAGTCTCACACTGAATAAAACTGAAAACGGAGCTGAGCAGTCACAGTTGCTCTCTGCTTCCTGACTGTGACTATGTGACTCAAGCTCTTGCCATGGCATCCCTGTCCCTTGTCCCTCAACTGGGAGCCAAAATGAACCCTTCCTTCCTAGGTGGCTCTTGGTTATAGCAATGAGAAAAGTGGCTAAGACAACCTCTCCATGGCGCTAATGGGTGGATGTTTTTAAACGAGCCTTAGTGTGCTACAAGACCTCAATTCTGGACAGAGAGAGACGGATCTCATGATAAACCAGACACACCAGACAAATCAAAGGAACCTGCACAGAAGCTCTTTGGGGACAAGCATGACAAATCAAAATCTTAAATGTAAAAGCAAGAGGTGAAAGAGTGGAGGTTAAACAAACCTTACTTAAGCACTGTCACGCCCGGCCTCAGCTTGTCACGTGGCGCACGAGTATGCCCATGCCCCTCTCCACGCAGTGAGAGCTGTTTGGCTGATCCTATTAAGGCAGAGGCTGGTTTTGTTAGCGCCATGTGGTCTCCAGCTAACAGCTTTGACCCTCTTTTGCACTGATTTCCCTGGCTGGCTTTTCTTAAACCCCACAGGACAACCGTGGAGGTCCTGGACACGTTGCCGGGAGTTTTTTATAGTCCCAAATGAAGCCATATGTAATATAGACTCCCTCCTGTTGCTAAAAAGGTGCTGTTTTGCTTGAAGTAAATCTAATTCAGAAGTGTACATACAGGTCATTCAGTTTTTGCCTCTAGGGGATCTTGGCTTTTAACTCTTGTGTCCCTATGGTTGGCAAAGACTCCTCTCCAGCCTTGATATTACAGTCTTGAAAGAGGACTGGCTGTACTTGTAAAACAAAATTCTCTTTTGCTTTCTAGGAACTCACTGGCAAGACTCCACTGTAATTACCGAGTCAATGTGAAATTGCCTTGGGCAAGGGGCGGAGGATGGAGGGACATAAACCACCCACAGACAGAGCTGTAAACTCTGGGTTTATCTCCACTATCCACCCAGGTAGCCAGACACAGATTACCCACCTGCAAAGAAGTTAAAAACCAAGGCCTCATTTATGGGGAAGGATGGTTAACGGTTTTTCCATTTTACTCCGAAATGCACCTGGAACTAACGCATAGAGAGATGGACAGATTTATGCTAACACCAAGCCAGCGGACCAGCAAGGGCAGAACCAACAGTTCACCATAGAAGCCCTTCATCCGTGTGGTGGAAAATTTTCACGGTTTTCATAATAAAAACTGAGAGGTTGAATAGCCTTCTCTGACTTGGAAATAAATGGTCCTGCGGGGCAAGAAAGGAAGTGTGCTAGTATTTTTTTTATGGATGTGTTTTTGAATGGGTAGCTGGATGACAGCCTCTTGAACCTTCTAAAAGCTCTGTAAGTCACCTTCCGCTTGTAGGCTGGTATCCTCTGGTTTGACTAACCCGAGCATCATCCTCCTACTTGGGGAAGCTAGTTGGTTTTAATAGAGTTCAGCCTGGAGAGGTAGTGATGATTTGGATTCTATCCAGTTAGGGTCAGATAAACAGACATCTGAGATCCTAGGACTGCCTGGCCAGCGTATTCTGCCCCTTCCTGTCCTTTCTTCTGTGCTGTCTGCCACATTCGTTCTTGTAACCATTGACTTGCTTTTTTAAATCTTATGTCCAACCTTTATATTCTATACAGCTGCTTAGCTTTTATATCTCAAGGTTCAGCTTGCTGGCTTTCCGGCCCCCACGTGGAGGTCTGAGTAAGAAATATTCCCCATAGACTCATTTGACTACATGGTCCCCAGTTGGTGGTGCTGTGGAGGGAAGATATGGGACGTGTAGGAAGCAGAGCTTTGCTGAGGAAATTCACTGGGCACAGGCTTTGAGGTTTCATAGCCTGCCCTCACTTCCTTACTTCCTGCTTGCCGCCCTCCCTCCTGCTCCCACTATCTCCTGGCTTCCAGTGTGCCGAAGACTGGAGCTCCCTGCTTCCTGGCTGTTAGGCCAGCCTCCCTCTCTGGCTGTCATGCCTTCCTGTCATGATGGACTGTAATCCATCTGGAGCTGTAAGCTACACTAAATCAAAACCTTTGTCTCATCTAAGTCGCTTCTGGTCATGAACAAAGAAGAAAGAAGTACTCCTGTCAGGAGCTTATGTTCCTATGTTGTCATCTGGCCAGTCTGACTACTTCCTGCTCAAAACTGTTCTGTGGCTCTCCCCTTTCCGTCCCCCTTCTCAGATCTCATGTTCTCCATGGCCTGTCGGCAGGCTGTCTTCAGACTCAAAGCAGCCTCTCACTGTATTTTTTGCTTCTGTTGTCTTTTCCTGTGACTCCTCACTTTCCTTTGTTTTAAACTGGTCCTTCTTCTTTTTCTTCTTCTTCTTCTTGTTCTTCTTCTTGTTCTTGTTCTTCTTGTTCTCTTGTTCTTGTTCTTGTTCTTCTTCTTCTTCTTCTTCTTCTTCTCTCTCTCTCTCTCTCTCTCTCTCTCTCTCTCTCCCTCTCTCTCTCTCCTAGCCCTATGTACCTCTGAGATACCTTTCATCTCAAGTCCATTCATTAGCATTGGAAGACATAAGAAAAAATAGGACTCAAGAGACCAGGCAGAGTAAACCTGCCAGACGACTGACAGGACAGAGAGGGACTGGCCTGGCATGTTTGAAGCTCCTTTTGGAGAAATTAAAGGGGTTCCTCTTGTGAGAAAACTGAAAAGAAATTTTTACCATTGTACTTCATTTAGGGGGCCATAAGTGATCTAGCGATTTTAACAGCGTCCCCATGGCAAATAGTTCAGAGTTCTCGAATCTATTGGTCAATATCCTTGGAAGGAGACAGAATAAAGCCCGACTGGGGAGACACTGCCTTGTAGGCCACTGTGCAGTGTGTCCTGGTCTGAGCAACAGACCCGAAGTGCCGGTTTCTTCATCAATGTTTTTAGTTTGGAATTGGATGTCAGCCTCTCTGTCTAAAGCCCAGGTGCAAGAGTTATCTGCTGGTGGTGACTCAGATGTAAAAACTTGGAGGGATTATTTTTTAAAGGTGGTGGTGATACTGATGCCCTCGTATTGCAAATAAGCCTTCCAAGCAAACCAGTACCTCCTCTCTGCTGCACTCCACTCCCCTTCCCTACCCACCCCCACTCCTGACCAGGACACACCTTTCCTCCAATGCCCTCCCTCAGCCCTATTCGGTGTGTTTGTTTGTTCTGCTGCAGCTTTGTATGTCTCCACTCCTATTCTCAGTGAGCTCACGCGTTATTTGAGGGCGAAGATCTAATTTATTCGTTGTACACTTTCCTCTAGTTGGATAAATAAATACTGACTGATCTTCTAGTTACAGAGGAAGGGCAAGTCCTTCGTGTGGCTCGGTCACCTATCTTTTCTTAACCTCATATCTAAGTTCCTCTCCACCTCTCTCTGGTTACACGACATCCCCATATGAAGACCTCTGTGGGCTCATTGACTGCTGGGTGAATCCCAGAATTCCACTTGATATTCGTCATGGCCTGCCTGAAGCCATCTGTTGTCTATTCCCATCACGACATCCTTCAAGCCCAGAGCATCTTCCTCAGACTGAAGCAACTTAGGGCGTAGGCCACTTAATATTGGTGGCATTAATAAGTGAGGCCAAGAAACAGTCAAGGGGCAGGTGGAGAGTTCTTCTGCAGGCCTGGAAAGAAACCCAGAGTGACATCCATAGGCAGCGGCTTCCATAGATCAGGATGTGTGTGAGGGATGAGTGGCGCAGCCAGCCTCACAACTAGATGGCAGCAACTTCGTCATGGCTGGAGATGGCACGCTAGGTCTTAAAATTATGTCTTGGATGCTTGCAAGGAAGCCTATGAGCAAGTGAGACCCCTGGGAACAACCAGCAGGTGCCCACATTTTGACGACTACACTGCAGGCTCAACCAGTGGTACTGGCATTTGGAGTGAATGTCCCTGCAGAAAGCTGAAAAAACCCAAAGGTAGCATACACAGCCCTTTGTCTGTCCTAGGACTAACTGGGCTACCTCCATCCTGAGGTTGAGACAGGTGGAACCCTCTCCTATGGCTTTGTTGAATAACCTCTTTTCATCAATCTTTTCTTCATCAATCTTCCTCCTACACTTCCTCCCTGACCCTTTGTTTGGCTCCACCAGGCACGTACACAGACAGACAGGCAGGGAACTCTCTAGATTACTGTTCAAAATTAATGAGAGGTTGTTCTCCACACAGAGGGGTTTAGGAAGCATTGGGGTTTGGCTTGCTTTGTAAGCACTGTGTTTCCCAGGCAACGTCACTTCCTCTCCAGTATCCTATTACCACATCAGTGGAAAACTCAGGACATGGAAGACAGCTTTTTTCGCTTCGGAGACAACAGTGATTTATGAAATCACCTGTAAGCACAAGTTCTAGGGTGCCGTTCTGAGCCCTCCTCAAGGCAGATCCTGTGAGGGACCACTTCCCTTTCTTTCCTCCTTTTTTCCTCCCGCTAACACATCATCCTTTTCTGATGGGGTTCCCTAGCTGCTCTGCACGAACGCTTGCTGCTCGTTGGTGATTTTCCGAGATGCACATGAATCAGTTGACATGGGGCTAATCTGAGTGTGCGTTTCTGTTGAGTGCTTGTCAGTGGAGAGGAGGATGGCCGCGAGTGATGTCTGAGACATGTCCTTAACCTCAAAAGACAGTTCTGAATCCACACTTTAAGCAACTGAAAAATAACATTAATGAATGTAAATTTAGACTTATTTCAAATTGACCCTGTCACCCCGAGGCCAGACTGCTTTCCAACTTTCATGTGGTGGAAGCTCTGAAAACATCAGACTGTGGTAGGCAGCATGGGGTGAAGCCCTTGGGGACCGCAAAGGATGGACACATCTTTGCATCTTTGCTTAATTTGTCATTAGAAGTTCAAGGCGCTATCCATTGTGTTACAGAGCCACATTCGTCTTTGCCGAATTTCAAAGAATTATGCCCCTTCTGTGAGGCTCACTGGATCCATAGTTTTGGGCTCCTCATCAGGTCTGATTAGTTCATAACGGTTACAAAATTGTGTTTTGTTGTATTTTGAAATGGTTGTTTTAGATGCCTACTTGTCTTAAACTACTTTTAAAATTATAAGTTAATTTCTCTTTGGAAAAAACTCAAAACAAAACAAAAAATGGCTGTGCGTAGGATGTCGAAATGAAGTTGTCTAGTCTGATATTGGGAACTTGAGAAATATTTAGATAAGGACAAAAAGTCATCAGCACATTAAACAAACTTTAAAAATCAAAGTAGAGAGTATACGATGGGGGGGGGGAGAAGAGAGGAATAAGTAAGTATCTGGAATGAAATATCGTGGGAAAACCACAGTGAAGTCAGCTCTTCTCATGCTCCACCGCCTGGCATTTTAGAAAAGATCATCCTTGAGTTGGGGCTTCCCCCATGGATCACAGGAAGTCCGGTACCATCCTTGGTTTGCATACTTCAGGTGTCAGTAGCACAGTCCCTAATGCCAGTGTGACAGTCTAAATTGCCTCCAGACATTGTTATGTGTCCTCTGGAGATCAAACTCCATCTCAGCTGAGAGTTGAGAGTCTGATAAGTTGAGAATATGACAGAGTTGCCGGTCAGATGGAGTTGGGGGTCAGATGGAGTTGGGGGTCCCTGGGTAAAATCATGGTCTAAAGACTGTTTTGCAAAGGAGATTGACAAAAATGGTCAGTTTAGGGGTCATGTAGAGAGAAAACTAGGTGATTTCAGTAACAATGTGGTCAAGTGTGTCCAAACTTGAGGAGAGATATTAAAACACAGCACCAGGGGCTAAGGGAATATCTCAATTGGTAAATTTCTTTTTTTTTAAATATTTATTTATTTATTATTCATACAGTATTCTGTGTGTATGCCTGCAGGCCAGCGGACCTTGGTGTAGATCCCTGTTGTTCCTTTTGCAAACTACAGCTCCCAGCATCTCCCTGGACCGGAAGCCGCAAAGACACAGGACACTTCTCCCATACGCCCTTGTGTTCCCTGTTAAAAGCGCGGGGTCGCCACGAGCCCTCTCTCTTCCCCCTTCTCCTTTCGTCTCTGCACACCCGTACC